TGCTCTGGAGACGAGAGCACCGTTTTCACCCCCCTTCCTCCATTCCAGTCCATCACAGGTAGCCCACTGAATTGGATGGAGCCGTGACAGAACCCGAAGGAAGTCCTTCCCACAGCACCAGATTCAGGGATGGAGTGCTGCCAAAGAAACACTGAGGGTGGCCTCTAGCCGTCTCTGGCTTCCCAACAAGATTTGGGGCAGTGGATGGAAGGGTGGCTTCTGTGAGCTGGAGAGCAGCATCCGTTGTCCCAGCATCTTGGGGCACAACGGGCTGGAGGTAGCGAAGAGGGGAGGATCTGGTCCACCTGCCCTGCCCTGCTAGGGTAGAGGATTTTGGAAGTAGCCTTGACGAAGGAATGCAAGAATCATTAAGAGAAAATAACTGACAACATAGTCCTGGGAATGGAGAGGGTGTGAGAAAGAGTCCGTGCCTTGGTTCTGTTTGGTATAAGCGGGGGCCGACTTTCAAGATTCTTTTACTCTGCCCAACAACAGTAGAGTTCCAGCAGGGCTTGCATTATTTGTTCTACGGCCTGGCCTACCTCAGAGGGCTGACAGCTTGTGAGCTTCCCAGAAGCACCCATTGTTGCTGTAAGTAGCAAGCTGGTGCCCCCCGTGATCTGGTCCGGCAGGGCTGGCTTACGATTGAGCCCAGTTCTCCCTCTTTGAACTGAACTGTTCAGCTCCATCCTGGCCAAAGGTCTGCTGTTTCCTTTTATGAAAACGGACATGGGATCTTGTTGATGGCGAGCTTCAGGACCACTCTTTCTTCCGTTCATCTCTTCGCCGCTTCTGCACACACCTGTAGCTGTCATAGCAAGAGACATGAAACATTATTCGTGGATCAATAGGGCTCCGAGGAGGGAGCGTTTTTCTCTTGTGAGGCATTCATTGCATCTCTTGCTAGGAGGGGAAACCAGGGCCCTGCATGCTGAAGGTCCATAAGCAAGCATAGCAGGTAAAGGTGTGTTTTTTCTCAAGTAGAAAAACACAACAGTAACTGGCGATTAACGTCAGGAATTTTTCTGAAGGTGGGCAGGCGCATTTGACCGCTGGGCCCCTCTTGGAGATGGACCTTTCAGATCCATCTAGAGCACCAAAAGAAGCCCAGCTCAAGCCCCGAGACAGCCATGCCCACTGAGGCCCTCCAGGCAGACAGGTTGCCTTGAACCAAGAGGAACTCTAACCCACCTCCGTTCCTGGTTGGCTGGCTGGCTGGCTTACCCGTTTTACAATATTTGCAGAGTGCTGCACAGCAAGATGCGTGGCTGTGCCCAGCAAGGAATTAGAAGCAATAAAAAAATGCCACTCCCCCTGGAAACGACTATATGTTCTCTTGACACACCAGTTCAGTTGAGGGAAAAGCAGGAAACAACTCTAAAGGAGACTTAATTATAACCGAGTCCCTCAAGGGGATCCCGCTTAGGGGACTGAAAAGGTAAATAAAATACCATACGTTAAACACATTACAAGTATGAATAGAACACACATAATATGAACCCTAAAGATTTAGGTACAAAGAGGTTTTAGGCAAGATGATTTACTCATTCCCTTCTGTACAAACAAAATGAGCTCCAATTTTTGTTGTTGCTGAATAAGCTGTAATCTAAGATCTACTGAAAGTTTTGATCCTGATGTTAAAACAGTTCCCATTGTTCAGACAAAATAAGGATCTCTGATTTCTTATTCCATTCAGCCTTTATAATTTGCCTATCAGATTGATTTATCAATAATGGGTGTTTATAAAAACTAATGGACTTTTTTTGTCTCAGAATTCAGTAATCCCTTCTAATAAATTAAATGTCTCCAATTACTGGTTGACAAGGCCTTGCCATCTGTCCCTTGCCGTTCTGTAAAATGGGAGCAGGCCTGTGGTAGCCAACCTGATAAACAGAATCACACGATTAGCAAACTGAAAGCGTCCTCCAAAGCTTTTCTGTGCTGAAGTTCACAATACCCGTGAACTGTTTGACACTTAGTGCTAGAGAAAGGGAACTTTAAATAACTGACTCAAAAGGCAGGGAGCTCAGTTTCTCTCATCTGAAGACTGAATCTGAGTTGTGCCTCAGTTCCCCTTTCTGGGTCACCACCTCCTCCTCCAGCTGGCAGAGAAGGCTCCTGCAGCAAAGCCCAGCTCATGCGCAAACATCTTCCTTTCTGCAGAGAGAAGAAGATCTCCCGGAGCAGTGCCCTGAAGGTGTTGGACCATGCCATGATTGGGCCGGAGGGGGCCGACAACTGCCACAAGTTTGTCGACATTCTTGGCCTTCGCACAATCTTTCCGCTCTTCATGAAGTCCCCAAAGAAAATCAAGAAAGTGGGAACCTCCGAGAAGGAGCACGAAGGTAGGATTTCCTCCAAGCTCGCCCTTCCACTGTTCCTGGAAAAGTTGTCCTCTGAGAGAAGGGCTTGGTCCGTCCACGCTTCGTAAATCTTTCCCTCTCCTGTGCGGAGCCAGCGAGAGCGTGGAGGCGGCTGGGTTCTTCCCAGTAGCTCCGACTCCCAGCTTAGTGGCTAATTAGCTCCTGCATCTGTGCACGTGAGCCTGGCGTTTGAAGCTGTCTCTTTGATGCCAGCTCTTTGGAAAAGAGTAATGAGCCAACTGCAAATGTCACCTCCAAAGCAGTATTTTTGGCTCCCAGCACTGAAGTGTGACATGAACATCAGGCACCGCAGACACAAATTGCTTGTGGCTCTTGTTACTTTCTCACTTTCCTTCCACTGACTCCCCAGGGGTGGGGGGAAGGATCCAGAATTCCCATCAGCCTGAGTTGCTGATGATTTCAGCATGGCTGTCTCCATCTTTCAGCTGTGAGGAACAGCAAGGCTGGTACAAAATACGAAACAAGGACAGCTCCCTGGAAAGGTGTTTCAAAAACAGGCCAATGTGTGTGATTTGGTGCATTGGGGAATGGAGCAGGACAAAAATTATTCATCTAGAAAGTGTGTCTTGACTTCCCCTGACTCGAGATGCCGCCTCACTTGTACTGTCATCTTCTCCAAAAGACCTGAAAAAGGAGCACAGGGAAAGAAAGCCATCTCTGCTTCATGATGCCTCCTGAAGTTGTAGTCCATTCTGCTAAGAATTGCTTGGCGTGGCTAATTTATGGTTGAGATTTGCAATGAATGAGTGTAGTATTAAGCATGATAGTACAAAAATATTCTGGGAAAAAACATTTTCACTCATTTTCTCAAGTTTCAAGGTTTAAAACGAAAAATTACCTTTTCAGTATGCATATTTAGAATTTAACATTGTCCATTTGCCTGACTGCATATCTCCATAAGTTTCAACTCTGGTCATTGCATTTGAATTTTTTATTTATTTATTTATTTATTTATTTATTTATTTATTTGCAAATCTTGCATCTTGTGTGCATGTTAGTATGCTGCCTATATCTACTAGTTGGTTGATGCAGGCCACAGTATGTTGGCTTGAAAGATAGTGTACACGAGAGATCCTGGCTTCTGTTGAACAGTGTGAACATGTGTAGGATAAAATGGGGCTTTGGTGACCCAAATATGCAAGAAGTGACTGATCCTGTCCTTCCTGCTAGCAAGTGGGGAAAATTGTGCAATGCTCTGAATGAGGATAATAATTCAGAAGGAAAAATATTCTGCCAAGTGACCTTAGCGGATAGGTGGGAATGAGACAAGATAGTATAGAAAAAATGAGTGGGCCATTCAGGGACCCTTAGAAAAATGTCGGTTTTGAATACATCAGCGTATTTGTATGTACACTGGCAAAGAAGTGGTAGAAATCTAAAAATATGATTGTTTACAATGAAAGATTGAGAGGATTATTCGTTTATTAAACAAATTCATATGGTCACGCATCTACTAAAAGAAGTTTGAGCAGCAAACATCATCCAAAATTTACAACTCAATTAAAATGTAATTTGAAGCTCCTGAAAATGTCATTACTAACATGTCAGCATGGCCACACCCACACCAGAGCTTCATTATCATCCTGGCCCCAGTGCCTGGCAGAAGATCCAGCTCTTCACAGGCTTCTAGAAGGCCAGAGCAGGGCTGTTCATATGTCAGGGGGAGGCTGGTTCACAAGGCAGGTGCCATGACAGAGAAGACAAGCTTTCTAGGTCTACCAAGTCACACTACTTCACCAATGGGACCTGGAGCATGACTGCCCTGCCCGATCTTGTGCGATGGACAGAAGCCATCAGGGAGAGGTGGTCCTGCAAGTAACCTGGCCCCATGCCAGGTAGGGCTTTAAAGGGGACAACCAGCACCTTGAATTGCACCTGCAAGCCTACTGGGAACAGTGCAGCTCATGCAGCAGTAATTTGCATGGAGGACACCCTATACTGCACGTACCACTGCATTTGGACCAGCTGAACCTCCTTCAAGGGCAGCCCTATGCAGAGCACATTGCAGTAGTCCAACAGGGAGGTGAAGGATACACTGGCGATGAGTGGCTCTGAATAGAGAACTGACCGATTTTTGGTAGTTCAGAAGTACAGTTAGTCCCCAGTTTAAGAACGAGTTCCGTTCCCGAGCTTTGTCCTTAAGTTGAACTTGTATGTAAGCCAGAACAGTATTATTGTATAATACTGTGTAAGTAGCATTGTGTAATGAACTCAAACCGTTGTGCATTTAACTCAAATCATTGTGTACTTAACTTGAATTTTGCTACAATAGGCTCCATTCTTAACTATGGGTCATCTGTAACCCGGGTATTCTTAACTACCTGTAGATATTGAGAAAAAATGGATATAGAAGGAAAGGAAATAAGTGAAACAAACAAGAGTGAAACTACAGTGCTTGCAGAAAGAGACATTGTGGGTCCTATATGTAGAAGAATTATTAATCTCCTGTCAGAATTAATAGGAACCGGGCCTAAGGAAAGAGAATGTGCAAGCAGTTTAGTACAGAGTGAAAAGAATTATGTTTCCAAGTGACACAGCAATATCTGGAATTCACTCATGGGAAGTATGTAAAAGGATGCTTGGTGGAATGATGAAATGAGAAAGGATGTAGATGAGGGAGAAATGCATTTAAGAGAATGAGTGCAGCCAAAAATGAAGACATGAGAAAGATACTGTGTAAGGTGAATACAGAGGCAAAAGAACATTGAGAAGAGTGTAGTCAAAAAGAGTAAGGAATGGTTGAGATTAAAAGATGCAGAGAAAATGCAGAAGAGTTCTGATGGAAATAAAAAATTATTGTGGAACTGGGTGAAGAGAACTAAACAAGAAGTCTTCAGAGAGCCAATGGAATTACAAATAAAAGAGATAAAACTCAACTTTGAAAGAATGCTGAAAAGCATATGAAGAGATTTTTTTTTTGTGGGAATGAATGTGATATGTTGAAGAGTAGAGCCAAAATGAAATACTCTAAATGTTAGTATCTAAGGAAAAAATGATGAAAGAAAATAATTATTTATTTATACAGTGTTTATAGCCTGACCCAATCCTAGTGGACTCTGGGCAGGATACAACCAAAATACGCATTCAGAGCATACAAATAGTAGAAATCAACATTTAAAAAACTAGTACAAAAGCACTGTTTGTTTAACTTGCTGCTGTTTTGGCCTGTTTTAGAAATACTTGTAAAGTAGGGGCCATCAGTACCTCCGTGGGGAAGAGGAGTCTTCCATAAAAAGAGGGCCACCCCGAGAGGGCCTGTTGCCTGGCGCCCCCTCCCCACATCTGTGAGAGGCGCTCTCTACATGGCC